AATCGCTAAACATGGTCAGGACAACGATGATAATTTTAACGCTACGCCGCCCGCCTCGGCTGCTGAGGGGCTGAGGGCACGGGACACACGTCGGTAGCGTTGGTGCATGTCAGCAGAAGCCCAGAGGTTGTGGTGCACCAACGGCCTCTTCAGGCCAAGCTGGTCCGGGCAGGGACGGGAAGAGGTAGGGGAGGGGTAGGGGGGGGTTAGGGGGGGAGGTAGCGGGTAGGGGTAGGCCAAAAAACGCAAAAAGCAAACAAATTGGAAAAAGTATGAAAAAGTGAGAGGGCAGAAGACAAAGGCCGACAAGTGAAGTAACATCAGGCGAAGCCGGGGGGGGGGGGTGGAAAATGGACGCCAAAGGCGGGTGGTTCCAACCACTCCGCCAAGCCCCAAGACGCCTGGGCCGGTGGCCTCGGCGGAAACCTGTCCGGATTTGTCCCGTGTCACACGGTTAGTTCAGCTGCAAGGTGCCACCCAAAGGTCAACTCGTGACTATGTGACAAGTTCCGTTCTGTCTATGGCAGCTCTCGGGTCTTTCTTCTCCCCCACGGGTCTGTTCTGATGCTGCCTGGTGAACTCCCGGCAGCATCAGCAGCTCCTGCAGGAAGAACTCTGTAAGCAGTGCTGTCCTCGTCCCTACGTGAGACCCGCTGTCAAAATGCCTTAGCTGTGAGCCTCAATCTTCTGCAGTGGCGTCATTTGCTCATCCTTGAGAATGGGGATTATGCCTGCAAGAACCAAGCATCAGTTGCAAACATCCAGCGAAGCCTAATTAAAATCTCATGCATCTTGATGGCTCTGAAACAAGAATCTCTCTACTGCACTGAGCTGAGCATCAGGCGCTTTGAGAAATCGACCCCTTCACTGGGTTGGACCAGGCCAAGCGCCTTAAGCGCGGTTCGGTTGCACTCGGTGCCTTCATAGATTCATAGCGAGGCTGATCGGTGAAGCTGCGCAGGAAAGCACGGATCCTGAGAGGTTCACTGCGTCGTTCAGCTCTGTAGCCTACCGCAATTGGAGCTGATGAGCTGATGTCTGATGCGTTCCGTATCGCTTCCCTACCTTTTGTGGCAGCTTCGTGACCATGTACGGCGTAAAACCTCCGCTGCCTGACACTGGCACGAAGCACCAACTGCGCACGTCGAACTGTAAAGGCTCAACACCTGAAGAGGAGAGTCCACGGATGCTTGCGCTGCAGCTAAGAAACCAATCAGCGGAGGAGCATATCTTTTGAGGATGTTGTGCCTGTTTTCTCAGAATATCTAGCCCTTACGTCTGTTGCCGTCCTTCCAAGCCTTGCCTGGAGGAGTGACGCTGCGTCATGACTTTGTCTTTCTGGCTTGAAATATCGACACGTTGTTGAATCAGGGATTCAAAATCTAGATTCTAGAGGGATCATTTTGCCGCAAAAGCCCGGGAAGGGCAATCAATACCTTCTCAGAAAGACCAGGATCCTAAAGCGGCACAGTATATTTCGGAAGTGGCATCTGGGAAGATGCAAGCAAGCTTGGCGGCTCTGCTAGGCTGAGCTCAATGATGCAGACAAGTGGAACATGCAAGAGTCGATTCAGAATTTGGCCTTCCCGAACATACACACGTGCTGCGAGGGTAGTCTCGAGAGACCTACGGCCTTTCTCAACTCGGACTGATAGGATCCCGGTTGCCTGATGTGTTGCGGCGGCCGCCGAGAAAGGGTGGTGCGGACGGGATTGGGGGGATACCGTTGAGCGGTGGACGGGGTTAGGTGAACCGAGAATGGGGATCATACATGGCTCACTTCGAATCCAGTAGGCGCCTCAGGGCTTGTACGACAGTCACTCAAAGGCTAGATCGGGCCGGACACCCTCCGACACGTTGCTCAAGCAATATGCAGCCCGCGAAGACTATCTATATTGCTTTTCTTTCTGCATGGGGATGCAATTGAGAACAGAAAGTCTGAAAGGCCGAGCAATCACTCGGCACCGGCATGCCAGATGCAAATTCTGTTCACTGTTGCACGACAAGGAAAGGTGGCCTCGAATGTAAAGGTTAGCACCGCCATGGAGCAGCTCCTAACATTTCAGGCGATCTGTCTCTGAGTGTCCTAGACTTGAAAACGACCCCGATGCACCAACTGAAACCTGTGGTGCTACAGTCTGCAAGCTGGTCCGGCCTAATGCCAGTGCAGAAGCTTACTTTACTCACGATGACCTGGATACTCTGTTGCACCAAGGCACGAAGTTCAGCGAACAAGCTTGTCCCTGCTGCGTTCGCTGAATATTTAGTATGGTTTCTGGCCCTACGAGTAATATGGCCTTTTAAGCTCGTGCTTTGGGCGCCTCATACTTGCTGCAGCACCTCCGAACTGTCCGAGGTGTGCGCAGAAGGCTGACGTACGTGCCCAACTCCAGAGAATACCGCTTGGGGAGTTGGTAATGGATGGTCACCCAAAAAGCTGCATGCGTCGCCTGCGTCGCTGCTGAACTGAGGCGTTTAATCCCAAGCACCATCCTGCACCTGCACTGACCTGCACCTTCTTTATCCCCACAGCTCTCCTTCACCATGCCCGAATTTCCATTGAAACAGGCATGGTGCAGGGGAGTCCATCCATCAACGTCCTGCAATCAAGGCTGGATGCAACATGGCCGTACAACAGCTCAGGGATACCTGCCCAAGCAAGATGCGCGCTCATGCAAGGATTGGCCTAAGACAGTCATTTGCTGTGCCAGGCCTTGACGTCAGGATCGGCGCCGTTGCTGATCAAGAGCTTGGCTATCTCTGGGAGGTCCTTCACGGTTTGCAATGTGCAATGAGTCATGTTTGCTCGTGCAGGTCGTCCAAGATACACACTCGGGTATAGGTATAAGCCCCTTCGATGCAAGATGCCTTCCGGGCTGCCACATGAAGCGCCGCTCGCCCTCGCGCATTCCTGCCTCAGAATATCGGTCAGCTGTTCACATCTATTGGCCCTGGAGTCCGGAGATGCGAAGGTCAGCAAGCGCATCTTGCTCGACCAGTGACAGATCCATTGGGTTCCAAAGCCTCAAAATGCCTCAAACAAATCACCCAGTGGCCGCCGCACTTGTTCGCGACCCGAGGCTTGACGATCATAGCAGTGCCATATCAGAGCAGGCACTATATGGCACTATGAAACCATGCTATGCTATGCTGTCCCTCGATGATTCGTTCTTTATTTAGCACTGCCGGACAGCGTCCAAGAGCCATAATATGAAAATACGAAGGCACAGTTACGTTTCCGGCACATCCCAGCACCACACCATCATGCTCTTCGTTGGCTGCCCCCTGACGGCGGCTGGCCCCCTGCGATCTTCTAAGAGTTCAAGCGCTTGGAATTGTTGCTTGGTCCAACAGGGCTTTGTGCACACGGATACACACCCACCCACCTACAAGTACCTCGCTTCTCGGGCAGACGTGGTACTCTTGCTGGATCAGCTTCAGACTCGCTGCTCTGGGGGCCGGGCCCTGCATCTGTAGCTTCAGGCCTCTCAGAGGATCCTGAATGCGAATGAGGGCCTTGGTGCGATCGCTCCTTCTGAACTTGGGCAGTCTTGCTCTGTCTCTGTGGGCACCTCGACACACTCCTTCCGATCATAGAAAACCGCCATCGTCAAAGGAGTCCAACCATTCAGCGCCTTCCGGGCTCCAGCACGGCGGCTTCAGAGGGCTTCAGGCCATCTCAGGCATCCCCAGTACTCCATAATCGCCTTGTAGTTCAGGTCAGCACCTGGGCGCTCCACCAAAGCAGAAGGACATGGATTTCTGTGCCATGGACCATTCACCGGAAGTTTGCACACTGGCAGGAGGCCCAATAGTGTCATGTTGCACTACGACTAAGAGATTTCTCGAGTCCAGGAAGAAGTGGAGTCGTTCTCGCAATTCCCGCTGAGCCTGGCACGTTTCGCAATCATCTGCTTGACTTGAGTACCAGACCACTGGTGCATCTGCTTCACCAAATCCTGACCGCTGCAGCTAGCGTCAGCTGGCTATGTCTCATCGTCGAACACAGTGCCCAGGGTGCGTTTCTCCTCCCCGAGTTGCTGCCTCGCTTCTGGGGAGTTCTCCTCGAAGGCAACACCCTGGCACGGAGGATCGGAGGATCAAACAACTAAACTCGAACTTTTCCGTGCCGGAAGGACCTCCACTGGGGGGCTCCAGTCGGGCCTGCATGAGGAACGCATAATGAGCACGCTGGAAAACTAAAAAAGTGATCACCGACAGTTACAATGTCAAATGCTCCCATAGCCAAACAACCAGTGCAGCTCAAGATTCGGAAGTGTGGGCCACAACTTAAACAGACGCAGTCAACCCACAAGGAGGCAAGTGTCAAATAGGCATCCCTCTAATTCTCGTGACGAAACGCCGAAGACAGCGAGAGGAGGCGACTAGAGATTTGAGATGAGCACAATGGAAGACACACCTGTGAAAATCCACGTGTACAGCATCAGTCTGAGATCCCTGCTGCAAGAAGACATTCAGCACACCCATGTGTCGCGCACGTGCTGCGCGGAAGATGGGACAATCAAAGTCCTACTTGCAAACTGCTGCCGGCAGCCACACAACAATAGAAACATTACAAGTGCGTGTCCTTGTTGTGGCGCAGCGGGTCACAGCGAGCAACGAGAAGTTGCTTGGCCTTGCTTGCAGTTCATGTCGAAGAGCATGTGTGAGCACCAAATACAACTTGAAAGATCGAAGTCTCTAGCAAGCACCCACTGCGGCGAAGGGCCGTGGCTTCTCAGCCGAAGCACAGGCGGCGGCACCACATCCAACCCCCCTCGTATGGCCCTTGAAGATCACGCTCACTCTCAGCATGCGATACCGGCCGCCCGCTGAGGAACGGCTTTGGCGAATTTAATGGGGCTCAACGTGCAGCTCGATGCTGCAAGATATGGCAAGCATCTCGGATAATCTGCGATACGAGGCTTGGTCTGCTGAGGACCGTGACACGAGGGAGGGCATTCCGGCTAGAGCACGTGTGCAAGCGTGGCCCAAGGCCTCGACAGAACACAGAGCCATGCTGCAGCCTTGACATGAATCCTCATCATCAAACAAAACATACGCGCAGCTCGTGACAGGGGCCAGAGGAGGAGTGACAATGTCGACCCCGGACGCGATCTCGAACGAAGCGCACAGAGCGGGGCCGCCAGATTGCGGCGGGGCAAGAAACGGAACTGTCAAACCCTGCAACCAAGGAAGCTCTGTGATGTTTGGAGGTGCGAGAGGCTGCGCCTATAGAGGACTTGGATGAGTTATAGCTGTCAGCCAGCGGTTAGGCGGAACTGGGCATCAAGAAGCCGGATTCTAGACAGAATTCCGTATAATTCTAGGATATTCCAACATCCACGGAGAAGTGATTTTTAGGGTCATAAAATGTCTTAAGTGCGTGAAACCATGCAGGTCAGATCAGGTCAGCCAGTGGTCTCTGCCGTTACCGGCGAGAAATGCACCTGAGGCCTCGACGGGCATACAGTAGCTACTGCCCTTGCCATAGACAAAGCACTTCATGGGTGCTGCCGGATGCCGTCGGCATCGTAATGTCGCTGTGGAACCCGTGCTTGTGTTATTTGGGGTGTGAGTTTCGTGTGCTTCAGGAGATCGGCTCGAATCATTAAAGGGCCGCAGTTACTGTGATAGCCCAAGGAATCCTGGCCAGCGCCGCACCACTTGCTGCGACAAAAACGGCGGTAGATGGTCCCTCTTCGCGGAAGGGCCCATTTTCGGGAGCGAAAGGTGCTCGCGCAATGCATGCGATACTCATGATGCTGCGGGAGGGGGGTGACCCCTCAGCGGTGGTCGTGGCAGCGTGGCCGGCCGGTGGTAAGGTCTCAAAAATCCTAGGGCCTTTAGTCACACATCCTTGCTGGCGGATGGCTTGGGCACATCCTAGTTGGCGGACATATGGTTGGGCAGAATACGATCAAGAAGGCAACACATCGAAGCCTCTAATCAAGATTTCACCACTGCAACTAGGATGTGTTTGAATTAGCTTTGTCGGCAAGGCTTTGACCAACCGAGACAATGCCTCGACGTCTGTGTCACGGCTCCGCCTTTCGATGGCCGCATCTTTAGGAGCATAAACCCTGTTCACTGTTCCATCTTCGAGACGGCCGTGCAAGTAGACCGGCTTTTCCTTTCTGCTACAAGTACAGAAAAGAAGCCGAACGACAGCCCCGACCGTCGCAGCCAGGACCTGTGTAGTTTGCAAAAGAAACCACATGGCCTTGCCCGTGTGCAGATGCACGGATAACCCGCAAAGGCTGGTGCACATATCTGCTGTCTAACAACGCTTGGTGTCGCACGAAGCTGGCCTCCATCTTTCCGCACATATGCAGCCTGAGGCGAATGCTCGGACATGGATGAGCCAACTAACCCAACCATCTCGACGCTATCCTGGATTGCACACAAGAGTTAAGAGCCATGGAGAATTTAGGCCTTGCACCCGGTCACTAGCCCCTGTGCCTGCCAAGGGGGGGTTTCCTCAGAGCAGGGTGGGGGGCAGGTTCATGCCAAAGCGAGCTGAAGTAGGGTCTGCTTGACACAGAGCAGGTTCATGATCCTCCAGACTCCAGGGTAGTTGATTCTGGGATTTCTTGTAGCTTCTTGCTATGATATGTATCACTGCGAAAAGAACTTCATCAGAGGGTCCAGGCTGGCACTCAAACATGAGAGAGACAACTGCAAAGCAAATCCACAATTTTCTATCGACGGGTATTTGGAGCACGAAAACTGAGTTTGTTTGAGCTGGTTGTTCAGCGGCGTCACAACAGATCCGAAGACTTCGGTTTGAACTTGAGCTGGTTGAATTATTTCTATCCTGTTTGAGGGTTGGCCTGGACCATCCAATTTGGGTGACTCAGCCGTCATCGCAATCGGAAAAAGCATTAAACATCCCACACTGACAACATTGTACGGTCCAGGTAGGGCTGGGGCCTCTCTACACCAACCAGCTCGCCCTGAATCCTTACAGCGTTCATTGCAGCCTTCAAGGGCAGGGTAAGCGAGGAGCCAGACATAAGAAGCTGGGCAGCAGTTGACGGAGGGAACAAGTTCCCCCGGGCGCGGATTTCAACCAAATGCTTCCAGCACCTCGCCCCTGCCCTCACTGCAGCAGTCCACGCCACCGTTGTGTAAGCCCAAGGCAGTGCAGTCGTCCCGCTTTTGTCAGCAATATTCGGATCCTCAGTTACTCTGGTGATGCCCAAAAACCGACGAACTATCGGTCTGCAGAATCATTTCCGACGGTCAACTCTAAGACTCTAAGCTGCACGCAGCCCGGCTTCGAAGGAGGGCGAGCGCCGCCTGGAAGTGATTCCGCATTTTTGAGGATTCCGCTCTGAGAACCGGTTCGAGACGCAAGCACCTCCTTCATCGGTTCCTTGTAAAAGTTGGCGACTGTGGCCTTCAAGCACAGACATAAACCGCAAAAAACATTCGGAATGCCACACCTGCTCAAGCAGCCGTTCTGAAGATTTCCGGTCGAATCCTTCGGTCATAAGCGCTCGACCTTGCAATCTCCGCAAGGTGCGATGTGCAGAACAGAGTACCGATCCAAAGTCGGTAAGATGCCCGCGAAGGTTCTCTTCTTTTACGAGAACTTCGCACCTGCAGCAGTCGGCGCTCATCCATAAACACCACACATTCCTGAAATGGGAACAACTTGACAAACATCGATGCACACACACATACACACTTGGATTGCCCCACGATATGATCGACATCATATTCGGGTTAGTAGGTGAGCTCATGCTTTATCTCTTTCTTTCGATCATAACCCACTTCGAATGCAGCTCGCATAGACTCTCAGGCCGGTATGTCACCAGCGTTTAAGGGGTGCATCTCGGCGGCCATTGCAGCACGTGAAAGAGGCGTCCTTTTTTCATATCACTGAGACATGTTGCCGCTGCATTGGGCAGCGAACAACATGCTTCACGCTGCCCCCCCCCCGCGTTTTATCTCTTTGGAACCCTTGGCTTCAGGGTGGCGCACACACACCTGCCCCTTCAAGGGGTGGCAACAGTATGAATGCTTTGAGACAAAAGATTACAGCATCAAGCAAGGTGTGGTACTTCACCCTTTCAAGCACTTCGTCTGAATTCGAATTAGTCGCGGTCTCGGATAATTCCTGTTGAGATACTGTTCGCAAAAGGCTTGGACATCCACTTCTTTTTGGGGCTGTGGAAAGGAACATTTGGATGCACTACATACTCTGCTGTTAGCTGCAGCAAGCTTGTGACTTTCACTGCCAGCAGAATTCATAGGCTTCAGGTGATGTTGTTTTCGGAACAATGAATGCAAGTCGTCAGGAAAAAGTGGTACCCAACAGCTCTCCAAACTCAACCTTTTCCAACTCTACAAGGTTCTCGTAAAGTCATAGTTGAGCAAGCCACTGACACTGCTGAACCTGCTCACAAAACACAACAAGTCTGTTGTTGACATAACGATAAACAAAAAACTTGTCCGCATATCGGCAAAGTTGTTCTTGATTGATTTCACACCATTGTTGTTTCATCCAACTGACAGCAATGTCAGCTAGTACCGGTGAAATCTGATTTCCGCTAGCGCTGCCATGGATTTGCTGAAATATCTGCTTCGTCTGGACGAAGAGAGAGGTTTGTAGAGAAAGTGTGCACAATGGGAGAACGTCCTTCACGTAAACACGAAAGGCACTCCCTTGAAGAGCACTCTTTGTACCTCGGAAAATACGAAGCTTGATGTCCTTTTCCTTGGGAAAAGCCGCAAAAGGCATGTTGTCATCTTCCTGATGTAGCGTCAGGCAGCGATCAACCATCCATTTGACTGCGGCTTCAATGCGTTCCGCAGGAATGGAAGTAAAGAAACCAGCGAGATCCTGATTCGATTCAATGAGATGCTGCTCCAAATGAGTTTCTTGTAGAAAGCGATGGAAGCGCTTGAACATCTGGGGCATGGTCTCATTGCCATAGGACTGCGGGAAGACATCCTTAATCATCGCCATTAGAACAAATGCAGTGCAACGGAACAGTCTTGCAAAAGGAAAAGCCCTATGCCTATATTTGATAAGAGGACGTGCACCAAGAAACTTCTTTGTGGCCTTGATCAGGATGTACGATGTAAGGCCTACATGTAGGGAGACCTGCTTTTTGAATGCCCCAGCTGTATTTCCTGAGCCATTTGCCGTCGGCAATCTGTGCCAAACGGTTTTGTGCACTGCTGGGGGTCATGTTTCTTCGATGGTAACTTTTGGATCGCCAAATGTTGCTTTCAGGACATAATGGTACAGCTTTGGACAAAAGGCATGAATGTGATATGCTGCATGACCTCTGCGTCGGACAACAAGTTGCTGCATGAGCTGTCGAAGGAACCGAACATCTTCCATGGAAAAAGGGACTTGTGCAAGTTCGCAGTGAAACGTCCGTTGAGACTGAAGAAACTTTTCTCCAAAATTGTAGGTGAGACTTCCAATCTTGTAGTGTTGTAACCATCTGGAATCTGGAAACGATGGGCCATGTCATCTTGCAGCACTCTTGAAAATCAGGATAGTCTTGAGCGGTAGCATTGCATGACAACCAAAAACGTAATCGTCGGGAAGCATGCAGAAAGTTGGCTTCATATGCAGTTGGATAATCTCCTGCCAAAGAAGTAGTCTGAAGATCAGGATGTCTCGCAATAAATTCCTTGCAGGGGCAGACTGGAGGATCATTCCATGAAAAGTTTTCCATCCACCGAAAATGGGAATACAACTTGCTTTCCATTGCTTTACATGGTGGGAAACTTGCTAGCGATCACTGTACAGACGGGAAGATGAAAATTGGTCAGGAAATCCTTGCGATCAACAACACTACTGCGAAGCCATGATCGAATTCTTCGTAAAGGATGCATATGCAAGCACTGGCATAACACTAGGTTCGGCTTTCACAGGTAACATGGCACCTTTGAACGTAATGGCTTTCTTAAAGAGTCCTCTGACTTTAGATCTGGGGGGTCCTCCAAGTTGTGGGCGAGCCTGCACAACGCAAAGGTTTGATCAACTGAGTACTGCGCGATTTTAAGTCATGTGGTTGTCCGGAAAGATTCCCTTGAACTCTCTGCCAGCTTGAATAGAATAGTCCCCTGGTGATCATCTTGACAAATATGTTGGTGATACAAATGTAATCTCATTGTATGAAAAAGACATCTGCGAAGCTTGCGAAAAAGCCTTGTGCCAGGTGTGCCATACTTGCAAGAAAATGTACCATGAGGCGTGAGGTCGTTGACGAAATGTCTCTTGTGGGCATCAATCTTGTAATGAATGGAAAATTTAATGGTGGCGCCCACTTCTGAATAAGGTTGCTTCTGTGAGTTTAACACCAGTGGTGGACTGACATTGAATCAATGGAACCATGATGTAGTCATGGATGTTGTTGCGGGTGTGAAACCAATGTAGTGCAAGTTCAAACTGCTTGAACTTGCGAAGTCTAGCATCTTGAGGCTGATGACAAGTAGTGCATCCAATGTAGTAGAACTCCTTTTGAATCTTGAAATGGCGCGCTGTCCTCATCCACAGACTCAGAGTAAGCTGCCGAAAGTATGTGCTGCATGGTTGACGGTTGACGAAAGCTGGCAATCATCTGCTTCAAATCGTTTGATGCGCGTTTATCTGCACAAAACGTTGGCGCCACGTACAAGCACTTGTCTTCATTGCACATAATGGACAGTGTCAATCGAAAGCCTATAAAATCTGCTCATGGAAAGCTGCTTTTACACCAGGAACTGCAGAATTATGACGAATTGCTAAATGCCAAAGTGCATGCCTGAACAACGTGTAGCGACTCATAAGTCGATCTCCTAGTCATTCTGCAAGGGCAACGGCGGCACAAATGATCTTCACCAACTCAGGGTTTTTGGCCTTGGTAGCAAGCGGGCCACGGCCTGCTCCGGGCTCTGTTTCAATTCATCAGATCCTTGATGGCTTTTGCAATTCCTTTAACTGCTCTGTCAAGTTGTGCCTTGATGGATCTGTCCAACTTCAACTCGTCAATCCATTTGTTCACTACTGTTGGTGTCACACCGGTGGGGGCTTGTGTAGTGAGTGTGCGACTCACCGACTTGCTGTCAAAGGTGAGTGCTTGTGTGAGGAAGTATGTTGATGACGATTTTGCGGCGAGTGGTCCTCGGTGGGGTGTGCAAGCCTGCCTTCTTGGGCTTGGGCTGGCTGCTGCTGCTGGGTTCTGCTGGTCGCTTCAAGCAGGGTGAATCAGGGGTTGGTGCTGGCTCTGAAGGTGGCTCACCCTTGTGGAACTGCCGAAGTTGTTGCGACATCCACTCTGCACGTGGTTGTGTTAACACTTGTTTCAGACCTGCTTTTGTCAATGTGAATGTTGTTTTGATCACAATATGTTTCTGCTATTTGATCAATGTCCAACTTCGCATCTCTGGTAGCTGACAACAAAGTCTGAATGAACACGCTCTTTTTGATGCTTCTGGCAAAGACGATGTTCAAACACCGGCCATCAGCAAAGGAACGTAGGTGGTAACTGTCCAAACCCTTTGTATCATATTTTGTGCAGGCTCACATCCCGGATGTCAAGGCCTGCGAGTGAGCCATGCCGTGGGCAACATCTTGGCAAGGAACGTCAAACCGTCAACTTCGCTGGCATCATGAAAGCCTGGCTTCTGATTGAAAGTAGATGGAAAGGAACAATCCTTGCGACGGCCCTTTTGCGGGGACGCTGTCTCTTCGGGTTCGAGTTGCTTTCTTTTGTCGGGTGTAGTAGGGGCCCGCTGATCATAGCTGCGTTGGTTCCAACCCGTCGTTTTCCACTTCCCCACCAACCTTGCCCTCCACATTGCTGCCATGCCATGTTGTGAGAAGTAGTATTAGATTAGATCCTATTCATTGTAAAGGCTTGAGGCAACTGCGTACAAAGTCATAAACAAGCTACGCAGCAAGTAATGCAAATGCACATCTTCAAAAACTTGAAATGTGGAATCAGCTGTTGAAATCTTTCCATGACATACAGTTGATGCTCGACTGACCCGGCGTGAGTCTTAAAATAAACAATGGTGTAATGAATGTTATATTGAAGACAAGGACTCAGATCGGGACCTGGAAGGAGAACGCGAATTTTCCTCAGGAGCCTTCGGCTCGCAAGGACCACTACCTTTGATTTCGGGGATGCGCTTCTGCATAGGGGTAACAATGTTCTTGCGCCAACACCACTTTTAGTGGTGACTGTGGCTGCAGAGGCACTGTCATTGACAGAACTTGAAACCTCAGTTGGACTCAAACATATAATTGCAGGAGGAGAACCAGGAGGGGAGGAAGAGGAGCAAGAAGAAACGGTGCACGAGGAGGCGGAGGAGGGAAAGGAGGAGGGGGAGAATCGAATGCGGAAAAGCAAGATTTGGTGGGGGGGAGAAGGAGGAGGCGCCTCACATCAGTCGTCATAGTAGCTGAGCTTGTATTTGGTGTAGGTTCCTTTTCTGCTGGACGATGTGTGGAGCCCGAACTGGAAGCACACGGTAGAAAATGACTTTCGATGATTGTGTTTGCACCTCTTGCAATTTGTCGGTCAAGTCGATCTCTGAATTCTCGTCTGTCTTCACGGTCTTGTAAGATGATATACAAACGATTGCGTTGTTCTGCCGTGATCTGATCAATGAGGCCGTCAATCTCCGCGCGAAGCGACATGATGAAAATCAGAGATGGTGCAGCTAGGGTCGGATCTTTATGGCTGATGAGCAAGAGAGTATAACAAAGAGATAAAGACAGAAGAATACTTTGTACTCCAGTTGTTTTAATCTCTTGCATCTGGCGCAACTCGCACAAAAGAAACTGGCTCCAATGTCCTAAGGACAGTGGTGGGCTCTGTAAATGGTGCATGTCGTCCTGCTTGAGGTAATTGAAAAGATGGCCGTTGTGGTCTGCGGCCCGTAGCCGATTTGACCCGATATTGCAGTCTTTTCTTAACCTCCTTCGTGATGTCGGTAGTGACCCATTTGAGGAGATGAAAGACCCATAGCCAGTCCCCTCGCGCAGCGGTGGAACATGAACTTCCACACGGTACAGCTGAACGTCGGCAGGAAAGCCCGCTTGGGCCGGTGTGCGTTTCATAGCACTTCCAACTGATGACATGCTCCCCAAACATAACTTGCGCACTCATGGCCGGCATAAAACATGCTGACAGCAACACTGCAATCACTGCACATGCACGCGCTCACACTCTATTGCAATCAAGCACATTGTTTTAACGTTGTGATGCCAATTGCATTGGTGGCAGCTGTGCGGCTCTTAAAGTGGAAAATTGTGCTGAAAAGTCCTCCATGAATCTCCATGAGGTTTTGCACAGTGTTCCGTGAAACTTGAAAGTTCATCTGTGGCTCACTCAGGTTCTGTTGTGTTTCACACGCTTCTTTTTGGATGTCACGAACTTGACATTGAAGGCTGTCGAGCTGGGCCTGTTGTAGTTGTCGAACTGATATCTCTTCTTGTCGTTGTTGACTCAGGTCGGAACGAACGCTTTGCAATTCCACCTGCGTGTATCGAATCCATCTTTGAAGAGCTGCCAGAAGATTGAGGGCTGAATCCATTGTGCTGGTTGTTTCGAACCAAAACCTTCACAGTATTGATGTTTTTTGAATAGACAGCCTTTACCTGCAGACGGCTCTCAAGGTTGACATGAATGCAGCAAACTCAAAAGACTCACTCAAGCACACAATACATTCATAACTCATACATGCAACAAGTGTCAAACAGTCCTTTACTGTGCCCCATGACCACTCGTAATTGATGGGTGGGCAGGCTTCGCTATCATTGCTGGTGAGAAAGATATGTGTGATACGAGCTTTGCCCCCACGTACAAGCCACCTCTTGTCCTTGGAACAAGAATGAATCAAATGAACGATCGGATACCTGCTCAAAAGTTGTTGCTCACGATGTATCAGCATTGATCGGTTTGACATGTGCTCCAACTGCTTCACCAGCAAAAATAATCGAGCATTGGTTCTTTCCATGGTAGTGGAAGTTTGCGATGACTGGTGCCAAACCAGCTGGATTGCCATCGACGATGTATGAGAACATCGCCTTGCAGTAAAGACATTTGGCGTGAGTGCCATGAAGGAGATCGAGCCCATCAGTGCTCGACCTCAGCACCTTTCCAGCCTTTATTATTCCAAGGGCTCGTGGTGCCGTGGACCCATGTGTACAGGAGCTGGTGGGAAAACCCCATACAACGGTGCCATCCTGATCTTTGTGAGGGTCGTCTTTGTTGGTAAAATCTGCTGGTAGTTGACACCAGTTGTTTTGAGAATCTTCGCGAAACGATGTAACACTGCGGCATCAACCATGAAGCCCATGTGTGACTCCCTCTGTCAAATACGACAAATGATGCAGTACATCATCATATCCACCAGGTTGAAGTAGCGAGTAAATCTGTGATTCAACCATGGTATACGACCTTCTTCCCTGACTGTAATTGAGTTGATCAGGATCATAGGGATGCCATAAAACCCAATTTTGTGATGCCAATGCTTAGTGCTTGTTGCTGTCGAACTTCTTCATGCATGTTTTCTGGCATCGGCAGTGCTGCGGGAATGAGTGTAGGTGATGAAGATTTTGTGCTTGATGGTATGGTGAATGGCATCTTGGGTGTCACAGTGTGAGGGTGGTGGAGGTGGAGGTTGAGGTGTTGATGGAGTGAATTGTGAAGTATATGGAGCTGTGCTGCTGGGTGCTGCCGGTTGTCCAGCTTTGACTGGCTTGAACACATTCATCTTGGGTGCGGTTTGTAAAGTGGCAGGTGCAAGCGTGGTGGTGGTAAAGGTGAAGTCACAGGAGGTGGGGGTGGTGGCGGAGGTGGAATGGGATTTTGTTGTGTGGGTGGTGCAGCAAGCAAAGGTGAAGTAAAAAAAGGGCGGAGGCGGATGTGGAAGTGGTGACTGTGGATTGATGGGTGGTAACTGTGAGATAGGAGGTTGATCAACTGTATTCGGATCAACTCGTGGCCATATGGGTCGAACCACATTAGCACTTCCATCGAAGTTCAACGCTCGTGCCGGTGAAGGTCCTGTGAAGGTCTTCGGTGTCTACGCGTTCCAACATAGGCGAAACAGCACTCTGCGCATTCCAACGTAAACTTTAAACAAAAACAGCACTCTAAACGTTTCAACATAAGCAAAACACCAAAATCTGCACTGAAAGGCCAGGTTCACGAGGTCTTGAATAAGATCTCGATCGTACAGAGCGACTCAGAGCGACGAGCACGTTCTGAGTATGGTGATTCATGCCTTCGAACTGACTGTGCATCGATTCGCTCTGAGCGAGGCGGCGATGTACAGCACCAATACCAAGGGGAAAAGGCGGGCTGCGTGGTGCCACAATTGCTTGCTGAAGAACATACTTCACGTATCCTGCTGTCAACACAAGTTGTAGGGTAGAAGAACACTCTTGATATGTGCTGCTGTCATTGTCCAACACAAGTTGTATAGCAGCCGAAGTTGACTTTAGGAGCACAAGTGGTCACTATCCCGGCATCTTTCAGTACTTATGTAGAGGAGTATTCTGGAGAATCTGTTGCGCACATCCTTCTGGCCACCGAGCTTTCTAAATAAAGCTCGAGCCTCGCGACTGGCACTATGACAGATAACTAGCCAAGGTACACACTTGGACTGGCCCGCGATATGATCGACATCATATTTCGGGTTAGTCGGTTAGCTCATGCTTTATCTCTTTCTTTCGATCATATCCCACTTCGAGTGCAGCTCGCATAGACTCTCGGGCCAGTTGTTGCCGCCTTCATTGGGCAGCGAACAACATGCTTCACGCTGCCCCCTTGCGATTTTATCTCCGTGGAACCCTTGGCTTCAGGGTGGTATATACACACACACACACACAGGCAGGTATGCCGGGTCGAAGGACACAGTAACAAACAGCAATTGCAATTTCAGAATGCCCAACCGCGGAGCACGTCCTCCCCAGTTCCTGCATTGGAGGGGGCTCCTTCCAATACTCCAATCACGTCCCTGTTCTTCCGGCTTATTTCTCGTTTGTTCGAAAAATCTATGCGTGCCTAGGGCCTGTTTTGACAAATGTTGCTGCACATGCAGTTTGTCGGCTTGCTTGCTGCTTGCCTTCGTTTTCGCGAGGTTCTCTTGCCAGCCTTGTTGTTGCCGATTGTCTGCTTGGTTTCGGCGTATGTCTGTGGGGCGTTGTGCCGATTCACCTTTCGGAAACTGTCGCCATTGCATGCAAATAATGTGCAGCTCTGCAATGGGAGACATGACCAGCATCCGCACAAAGCTCAGACATGACCCGAGACGGCTGCATGGATTGAAAAAAGAGAGTATATCAAGAGTAGAGCTCGGTGCCCAACACGCTCTTGAACTGCTTGATGCCAATCACATTAAGAAGCCCGTGCATGTAGTCGAAGAACTCCTGACTTGACAAGAGCTGCGCTGCTGTGGGATCAATGGATCCGAAACCGGCCTCTCGATCGAGCCGGTGGTTGTGGTCTCGGTCCGCTTGACGGAAGAGCCTCTGTGCCTTTCCGCAGCAAGATCGACGAAGCTTTCCGCGCGTCAACTCCGCAAACATGTGAGCTGTACCTCCTCGCTCGACAAGACCTACCGAGCTTGGAGTGTCGACTAATGACTGAAGCTGTTGGCAAAGGCACAAAGGATTAGGTTGCCTCGGCACGTCCCAAGGATTCTGCAGCGATTTCATGCACCTTGACCACTGCGCTTAGATCGGAACGGTGAACACTGAAGTAGGTTACAACTGTTCGGCATGGCCCATGCTGAGATGGGCTGAGGGGGAGGCCCGGCCGTGATGGTCCAGGAACTCTTTGAACTGAATCGTTCCACTGCCGTCGACCTTAGAATGGACAACCACCGCTGCATCATCGCAGCGTAGAGGCACCATTTGCAAACTGCAGACGTCTGCCAGAAAGAAGAGCTGGTTGACCAAATCTTGAAGCCTTGCTCGTGCATAGGCTTGACACAAGCCGGGCCAAGTTTATTCCTAAGTGCTGGGCTCTGCTTCAGTTTCCGGCTTTGCCCCAGTGTTGCCTGTCCGTTTGCGGCATTGTGAGGGTGCGGAAACTCCAGCATGCAGGCACACCAAAGCCCCACGGTCCCGAGCACGTGCCTGTCAGCGTCCTGGCTGTCACAGGCTACCAAGTGTCATGCCGAGTAGATCCAATCGATCTGCGAGGCCGACCTTTCCAGACTCGGAAGTGGTCCTGTGAAGCATTGTCTTCATTTCTCACTCTGGTCTGCAAAAATCTTACGCTCGTTGAGGCACCCCCGCTGCTGCCGACCCGTCATGTAACCAGGCAATACTGGCAATACAGTTGCCATTTCAACAGCCTTGCCCGACTGAGACTGCATTTGCACGGATCCGGCAGCATTGCCCAAGAGTATCCGTTGGGTACAGAGGATGCTGGTACGTTCTCTGTTGCAGGAATCACTGGTACGCGCATGCGCACTCGTCAAGCTGCACAAGGAGTACGAATCAGCCAGCTACCTTGGCCAGCATCACGCTGCACCAGGCCGTCCGCTGGGGACATGGCTCAGCAATGCGCCTGAGATGAGAGCAGTCTGTACATGCATAATCGCGGAATGTCTCCGGAGCTGAGAAACAGACTGTCCAGCCCTAGGCATGCAAGCGGCGGACAAGCATTACTTGGGCTCGAAGGCGACAAGTACACCCTCCTACATGCTCACTGATGCTGAACCATTCTGCAAAGACTGTGAAGTGGAAAGATGGTGATGAGATCCGCTGCATGAGTGCGTGTCACGTGAAACGGCTGCTGATGGTTGGTACGGTGTCAGCCAAAACTCAAGACCCCTTGCATCGCCAGGTCTGCAGCTTGGTTCGGCCCTGCCCCGGCCTCTACAGCCACATTCCCGTCTCCTCGTTCTCATGCCGTGGCCCCCGGCAGAACGAATCAAAGGACGCGGCAGTGCCACGAGACTTGTTTACCAAGTGGCGTCCAATACCATGCAGGCGCGGTGCAGATATCGACCTCTGTGAAGACTCAGGCAATCACTGCGGGATCATCAGGGCAGAGTGCAAGAGAAACTCATAGCACAAGTACCAACTAATAACTAGTCTCAGATGCTGGCTTCTTCATTCCTGTCTTCTTCAAAGCACTGAGGGGTCGCGAACGAAGCTGCGGCATGCTGCAATCACCACCTCGTCCGTACTGCTCTTCAAAATAAATCCGAATCACTCTAAGCTGAAGGCAAGGCGATTCCATGACAAGCTTCATCATAGACAGTTCCCAGTTCCCCAACTAAGGCTGACTTGCAAGCTTCTCCAGCAGCAGAACCTGGCAAACTCGGACAGGCGACAGTCGCAGGAAGCCCGACTGCATGAGCTCAGCTGCCTCCGCCCTCTTGAACTCAACTGCACCGCGGTACACGGCCCAGAAATGTGGTTCAGCCTCAATTCAGACAGGGAGGCGAAACCACAATTGATGGCCATCACAGCATCGACAACAGGCCCTGCTCGTCGACCTGTCCCAGAGCACGCATGAGCGCGGGCGTTGCATGTCGACTGTTCGGGTTCGGCAGATGTCGGAACAAGGCTTGCGAGGCGTGGTGAATCGCGACTGCAGAAACTGTACTGGCAACGCCAGCGCAGTGCCGCTAAGGACGCTGCGATCTTGCCTTGCACCAGGAAGGTGTGGCCTTGCCCAACTGAGACTGGGTATGACAATGTTCTGGCGGCACTTACGGATAAGACTGGGACCCCGTGGGAACTTCGCATGCTTGAAAATGTAGGCAGCATGGGGCTTTCCGCCAGGTTTCGGCACAGGTACCTGCGCAAGGGCAGCCCTGCAAAGCCTGTCACCAGCAGAGCATGAACATCCAATCTCCAACGCCTCTTTCATGCCTGGCAGATGCCGCATGAGGAACCTGCCCGCAATCTCAGTTTGGCTGCGAAAATCGGCAACTGCTTGCCTCAACTTCTCATCACCCTTCTTGACCATCTCCTTGCCGCACGGATCTCGCGATTTTCCACGCAGGTCGATTGACGGGATGTTCCACAGCGACCGTCCCGTGTTGCCCACAGTTCTGTACGAAGTAAGACGGAGTAGATGATGCCGAGATGTTGTTACCAAAGCTGGCCCTCTCCTCTTTGAGGACGTTGTCGAAGTCATGCCTAGTAGATGCAGCTGGGCATGACTTAGCTCGTAACTGGCTGTCAGGCCCGCTCCGTCTGATGACGAACACCTCCGTGTCCTCCAGACACTTTGCAGACGCCAGCCGCGGCCTCGCGGAAAATAACGCATCTTGTTGCTTTAGTTCATGGAGTTCTGCGATCACTGCACGTATTCCCATTCTTGGTCATCGCCACTGTCATTGTCATTGACGCTGGCATTATGTTTGTGCAGTGGTTGTAGCTGCATGTAGCTGCGGACGTGGTGGTGCTCCTTTTCGGCGTTGTGCTTTCCACGACCCAATGTTTTGGTTCGCAATACCACAGTAGTTCTCTCAATGTAAAGGACCATTTTTGGTATTCCTGCTATGATTACTATGACTAGGATCAGCCGTGGATTGCCTTTGGTGATGTCTACGTACGGAGCTTTGCGAAACCCGGCGAAGCTTTGGTGAGACGTGCTACATATGTTTCTGATTGATGCTGTTCTCGTTGATACTGTTGGCATCAACATTGTTAGTTGTTTTATGATGGGGGGGTGCCGTAGAGGGTTGACTTCGTTTCGCATCTTTGCTGCTCTTTGCTTTTGTATGCGTTGCATCTGAGTTGTGTGTTTATTGTTGTTGGTGTGCCTGCCGCCAGCATTTCGGATTTCGGAGTTGAAAGCCTTTAGAGTGCCTTTTGGGGGTCCCCTTTCTTGGCGCGGGGGTTTACTAAACCCCCATTTCGGCTCGAAAGAGTTTGGCCAACCCAGATCTCAGCTCGAAAAGGAGGGTTTGCTAACACCCTTCTCACCGAAAGTCTGTGCCTATGTGCGAACATGCGCGAAACAAATGTTACAGCATGTCGGAGATCTGGCCCGCGGAGCAAACTTCGGACCCGGGTTGCCACATCCATCGTTCCGAATATTATCGCCTCCCCCTTTCCACATCGTCTTGATAACATGCCCTAAAAAGCATTTGTTCCACGAAAACTATTCCGAGACGTGACCCCCATTATGGCATAATCTGTGAGGCTCGGGTCATATTTCATGCAGCTGAATTTGGGCAATGATTTTTACGGAGGGTCCTTTGTATGTGTGTCTTGCCTGTCCTGGTAAAACTCGAACTTTGGCACCGTTTGTGTCGGTAAAATACAGCAATTCGCGTGAGTGTCCTGCTCACTGTTTAAACTTTGTCGAACACCACACAATTCTTGGAACGGTCGCACGAACCGCGAGCCAGCAAGAATCTCGAGCCTCATCACAGAAGCGAGCATCAAATAACAAGAAGGAGATGATGCAAGAATGGATATCCGCACGATTGTAATTTCTCGCGCCTGGCAATCCTCGACGGCCGCTGCAGTTGCATCGCCCATGCACCCGATATCGTGCTCCCCGGCCTGCATCGGCCTGCCCCGCCCGCGCACCCGATATCGCGCTCCCTGCCTTGTCCACGTCCACGCCTCCTCCGTGCACCGCCCGCACTTGACATCGCGCTCCGCCACCACCCCTTGTCCCCTCCTCCAACTCAATGGCACGCCTAGAGTCCAAACCTCACCCGCGCACCGGCCTGGCACCCGATATCACGCTCCACCATACTCCACTCCTTGTCAACGGCTTCCCAGCACACCCGCTCCCACCCCTCCATTATCAAGTACAGTATCACGTTCATTCTTGTATAGATGCTGTACATGGTTGCCGACACCACTCTTCTGCATTCTTGAACGGCCCGCCAACGTGTTTGCAGTGCAGTTTCTCGCTTCATTTACTTGGCAACCCAACTTTTCCGTCCGCCGGCAAGTTGTGGGAATGCAGACAAATTTTTGAAGTGAAGGTTTGCTGATTGCTTCAAGACCTTGAAACAGAGTTTCTGTAGAGAGTCTGCAGCAGCTTGACATAACATAGTACAACATCGTATTACATCTTGCTCAGCATCCTAACCCTTTCACAGAGATCGCGACTGATCATTCATCAGCGCGAGTTCGCCCACGACGCTGCCGGGCCTACAACATCCACCGCAATCTTCACGAAACATAGAGGTTAAGGCTGTAGCAAAGTGCGAAACATGCAACTGTGGGATCATCTCACTGCAACCACTGTTCCACAGGGCATCACTTCAGAAGTTGAGTGGATTGCTCAAGAGCTAGATATCCTGGAGCCCAAAGCTTTGCTGGGCAAGGGACCCAAGCTTGGAGACGCGGTTTCCCAGAATTGTGTCATCGTGGTATCGGCTAAACCTGGTCCACTTAGGAGCATGAGGGCAGCTTCGATTCACTGCAAAGCCAGAGCACCCATCCACCGTCTTCTGGCCAGGAAGAAAGCTCTGCCTTATCCAAGCAGCAGAAAACACTCTTTGAAACGAATCAGCTGTGAACATTGCAGGTCTGTCAGTACAAGACATGAAGTCGGTCTCTGTCGCCAATCGGGCCGTTCCCTGGCCGCAACAATTCTGTGCGATCGGTTCGTTGAGAGACATGAGAGACGCTATTCTTGCCTCATTCGTACTGTTTAGAACCTATTACGTGCCCGTGCCGCGCATCACTGTTTCAGCCGGCTGCGTCATCGGTGCTGAATTATGCGTCCGATGTCGAAACCTGCTCAAGAAAACACATCGTGGCCTGTGCAGGATGAGGCGGCATTTCTTCGTCGGACCTAGGTCCCAAGGAAAAAGGGCAGGCTGCCTTTCTTTGGACAAGAGGGACAAAGCGGAGCGAGGGAAGTGACATGAAGGAAAGGTGGCTAGCCAACTTGCCTCATGCCAAGTGCATCTGAACATTCATCGGATGTTACTTGTGTTGAAAGCCAAATCTGCCACCCCTTACAAACCTATTTTCTTTGATCCGGAGATTCCGATTTCCTTGATCAGACGCATGGTTCGAATCAATAGTTAATCGTGTGATGCTTGGGTGCCAATTGAACATGATTAGCCCTTCGCAGCTCAGTCCACGCAGATGTAGGATTGTGGAAAAACAGCGACATCAAAATGGCCATTTCGCCTACACAAGATCTGCAAGGCAAAATAAAACAGCAGGCATGCAATGCGATTGGCAGTCTCAGCCTCTGGCAGCGCAAAAACACCCACGGCTCCGCCGATGACAACCTGAGGCCCGTTTGCTTTGATGGAATTTGCATATGGGTCGTCTCCTGTGTAGAATTCTGCTTCACATTCAAATGCACAGTCACAAAAGCGTCCTTTCTTCACGTCACAGCAAATCTAGACGGTGTTTGTTACGCAGCGATCCAGAAATAATCGCGGCCCCCTGCGTTAGCTTGCCCTCGAAAATGACATCGCAGGTCAGTCGCCATGTCCAAGAGTTTTTACGCGCACACACACACACTCTCTCATGCCCTGGAAACCAGGGCTGTCATGCCAACACACGGTGCGAAGTAATGTGGCGGCTCGTTTAATAGGCTCCCGCCCGACCAAAAGGGTTCAGGTTAATTGATCTGGGATCCGTGACCCACTGGACAAGGGTTGGGGGCTCTTGGGTTGGCTTGGGGTCTGAGTGGCTTTGACTAAGTTAGAAGGGAATTGGGGCATCCCAGGGTTTGCGTTTTGGATGGGGTCTGGGTGGCTTTGACCAAGATAGAAGGGAATTGGGGCATCTCAGGGTTTGTGAGCTGGCTTGGGGTCTGGGCGGCTTTGACTAAGTTAGAAAATTGAGAGATCCCAGAATGTGTGGGCTGGCTTGCGGTCTGGGTGGCTTTGATTAACTTAGAAGGGAATTGGGGGATCCTGGGGTCTGTGTGGCTTTGATTAAGTGAGCAGGGCAATGGGGGATTTCAGGGTCTGTAGGTTTGGGGAGGTTTGGGGTGGTTTGCTTAGATTTGGGGTCTCGGGGCTTGAGCAGAGGGTTTGGGAGGGTTTAAAGTGTGCCGTATGTTTGGGGGGTTTGGGGGGTTTGCTTAGGGTTTAAATAAGAAGTTTTCGTGGGAAGTTGGGGGGTGAGGGTTGAAGTAGAAGGGTTTGGGAGGGTTTAGTAGGTTTCGGTGCTTAAGTACTAGGGTTTAATAGGGTTCTGTAGGTTTCGAGGGGGTTTGGGGTTTTTGCTTAGGTTTTCAATAGGAGACTTCGAGAAAAAGCGCCAGAATTAGCTTCACTTAGTAGACAGGCATTAGAGTACTAGTCGCTTAATGAGAAGCCCTCAGTGCTGAAGAACAATGCCATCAAGAGTTTGGCTAAGAAGGAGGCCGGCAGGATCGTGGCTGAGGAGAAGGCGAAGGCAGCTGAGGAGGCGAAGAAAGCTGAGGAGGAGTCCGTCCCGCCTATAAGCAGAAGGCCAAGATTGCGGCGAAAAAAACTAAGGAGACGAATGCTCCTGACGAGTCTGCCCAGTAGCAGTCGCAGTAGTAGTAGCAGTAGTAGTAGTAGTAGTAGTAGTAGTGGTGGTACGAGTACCAGTACTAGTAGCCGTTGCTTTCATGCTGCGAACCTGCATCCTGAATCTTGAAGAAACTCGGCTTCCCGCTAGTTTTGAGATCAATTGTGAAGGAAGTCATTCTGCTCGTCGCCAGTTTGCCATGCTCAATGTTTTTGGGGTGCCGCGCCTACATTGTCTCCAACGAAGCGTCGTCGTTTGCAGGTGGAGTCAGCTGAAGCTGTACGGCCATGGCTTGATGGTTTAGGGTTTAGAGGTTTTGGTTTAGGGTTTCGGGGTTAGGGTTTACTGTTTGTAGGGTTTAGGGTTTGGCGTTCGTAGGGTCATTCCTCCTTTATAGTCCGCATCATACTACCTAATGTATAGAGCAGGTCCAAGCAAGCTCCAAGATTAGTACCCAGAGCTCCTACTAAGGGTCCCGAACAGCCTCTACTTTAACCCCAAAGAACCTTTTTAAGGACTTATATAAAG